CCTGCTGGGCGCGGCGGGAAGGGGCGGGGTCAGGCGGAACTCCCGGCCACGCCCCCTGAGGCCCCGCCCGCGAGCGCGGCGGGGAATTGCGCGTGCGCCGGGATGTGGGACAGGTACGGGAGTGCGGCTGGGCAGCCACGGACACGCGGCCTGTCAGACTTGGAGAGCACAGGCAGCCCTCGAGTGACATGTCAAGTGTTCAAAAGCCACGAGCTTCTGCCTTGCACCGCAGCCCAGAGCCCCAAACTGTTTTTTTACATCTGGCTCTTCTGTCCAGGCTTTCCATTTCTATTACCCATTAGCAGGCTGGAACAAGCTCCTTTTCTTGCATACAAACAGAAGTCCAGCCGACTCTTAGATGCTTTCAAAAGATAGCAAGTTTTAAAATACCTCCTTGCTTAACTTTATAAAATCATAGAATGGTTTGGGTTGGAAGGGACCTTAAAGACCATCTAGTTTCACACCCACTGCCGTGGGAAGGAACACCTTCCGCTATCCCAGGCTGCTTCAGGATCCATCCAACCTGGCTTTGAACACTTTCAGGGATAATCCCCGGCTTCTCTGGGGGACCTGTTCCAGTGCCTCACCACTGTCACAGTAAAGCATTTCTTTCTAGTATCTCATCTAAACGTACTTGCTTTCAGTCTGAAGCCATTTCCTCTTGTCCTGTCACTATATACCCCTATAAAAAATTTCTCTCCATCCTTTTTGTAGGCTTCCTTCAGGTACTAGAAGATTTAGGTGACCCTAAATCCTTCTCTTTTCCAGGCTGAACATGCCCAATTCTATTAACCTTCACTCACGCAAGAGGTATTCCCTGCCTCTAATCATCCTGGTGTCCCTCCCTGGGACTTGCTCTGACAGAGCAACGTCCTTGTGCTGGGGACCCCAGAGCTGGAAGCAGTGTTCGAGGTGGGATCTCACTAAAGCAGCAGGGAAAAAATTAATTCATTATATCTTTGCCTTTGGTTATAAAAACTTCAAATTTTCCTGTTTCTCATGCATAGGAAGAACATGCTTGTCTGGCACTTCTCATGATTTCATTGCCCCAAGACCAAAAGCTCACCCATTTTCCTCATTCCTTTTTTATAAAGTCTGATATCTGTAAAAAATCATGTGCATAGTGTTGTCTTTCTATCATGCAATGACTCTCCTATAAACCAACTCACAGGAGGCTGCCCACTGGATTATTAACCTGACAGCAGACTCTCCTCCTGTTCTCCAGAGCAACAAGTATCAGCAGTGAACTGAATAAGAAACTCCTGTTTTACCTACAACCTGCTCAGTCTTCATCTGCCACAACATTTCATTGTGGCTGAACAGAAAGTCAGGGGCTCAGCACTGGGCATTAACAAACAGAGCAGAACTATTGCTTTGGAAGACAGAAATATTAAATTCATGATAACATATTTTTGCAGCACAGCTTACATCGCAGCAGATAATCAAATTTTCTTGCCACCACAGGGTATGGAGATAGGCCAATTTGTCTTCAGATGTCCATATTTTTAACCTCCCTAATGTGGAAACAAGGTTTTTCATGACAGTAGAGGACTGTGGACATTCTCATTTGGTTTAAAAGACTTCTTTGCAGTGTGGATCTGGCATTCAGTGCATTACCCACTTTGTCGTTGAAAGTTCTCGACAAAAACAAGTCTTCATCCCAGCACAGAAGACTATCACATATGGAGGGCATTCATATCTATTTATGCTATCACCACTGCTGTAATTTAAAACAAACAAACCAACCCCTTTTCCCTGCATTGTGCAAAGTGATAATTGCCTTGATATTGATACCTGCATAGCATTACTGAGTGCAGCAAGAAATGTGGCTTAGGTACTACAGTAAAGTAACACTTCAGTAATTTTTCTATTTCGTGCATGTTTGTAAGGCATTTTACATGAAAAACAGGGCTGATAATGAAAGCAGAAATAAGACTAGGGCAGTACACACTCTCAGTCCAGATTTCCCAGAGCAGCAGACTGACCCTTGGCAAGCAATTCCTCCTCACCAGAAAGGTTAGACAGATCACATAAGGGCACATGGCTGTGTGGGGGCTTGGGGGCGGGCAGGATGACATTATTTAGGTTATGATATCAGATACTACTTGGCAACAAACACAGCTCAGGGCCTTGCCTGAATCCTGTTACAAGACAGTTCTAGAAGCAAAGCTCCAAAGGAGCTCAAGTGACCCTGTAGGAAGGAAAAAAAACAGGTTATCTCTTACTGCAATTTCTTTGGGATGCAAGGACAAATGAATCACAAACACAGGAATACTTGTAAAGTCCATCCTGAAAGAAATTTCTTATAAATATTTGGGCTTTATTGTTCCCTATTATTTTTTGCAGACAGGTATTTCCAGTTAAGCTGTCTCCCTGTCCGTTCACTGACAGACCCATGTCACACAGCAGTGACAGCGGTGTCCTTGAGACAAGCCTGATGACATAGATCACTGCCCCTTCACTAATCATTCTCTAGATCAAAAACAGTGTTTTAAAACACAGTTCTACCCCGGAAATAGCAACTTGTTACAACGCTTTTCTGTTTGGGGGTTTGAGTTTTTATTTTTACTGTATTGTATTTTTTCTGTACTAATGAAATTCTAGTTTCATTCTTAGTGTAGCATAAGCCATAGCCATATGAAAAAGTATAATCAGCTTTAATTAATATGAAAATATATTATTAAATCCTAATTGTAGAATCTTCCCTGTTGCCATTAATTCTACAATGTTTCTAGTACCCTTTTTCTGGAAAAAAAACCCAAAACAAAAACCTCAACATGTTT